ATCCTATTAAAGGGCAAAATGCACTTTCCTTTTGTAGCAGAAACACAACTAATCTTAGATCTTTGAGTTGCATGTCCTCACCTGCCTACCCTTTAAAAATAACCCACTTCACTGACTTTGCCAGCAATTGACCTTTGTGTAGCTCTGTGTTAGAAATAACAGTCTCTTTGTTCTCATGTGTTCATTAGTCTTTCCTTCTGGGACTTCTCACAAGAATAAAGCATCACACAATAACTGAGTTTTAGCTACAAAGACAAAGCAACAAATATATTCCATTTAGTTAATTTAAGGCATTTATTGAGCTATAGAACAATGATATCATCAATGTGCGGTTATTGTTCCAATCTGGCCATCCGGTGGAATAAAGTGCCAATAAACTCAAGTCTACTTTAAAGTGACCATAAGAGACCTTAATGTTTTATAATGTATTCCCCAGAAACATGAAATACAGCACTCTTCAGGGACAACTGAGTGATATTTGAACTTCACATTGGCATTTTGTATACTGTGCCAAAGTGGAAATCCATTATATCAGGGTATGAAAAGAGCAAGGGAACATTTACTCTTTTTTCAGTTTAAGCCCACACCCTTTTTCTTTTTCCTCAGAAAAGAAAAAAGTTCTCATGGAGAAAGACAAAAATGTGCTTCAGTATATCTGCTATTCTCAGGGAGTTATGGAATTGGAGGCTTGAGCCATGTTTATATGTCTTGTGTTTATACTACGGGGCTGTAACTGTTGAATGATTGATTCTGATTGGTTGACGAACGTTCTAATGTGTGCAATTATTTTCAGGGAAACCCAGGCTAAAGTAGTTCCAGGCAGATCTCGATCGGCGCATAACAGTTCCATATCACTTCGCCAAATGATTTCAGTTATTTGTTCTTTACAGCCCACAGAACTAAAACCCACAGTGACACTGACCGAGCAAACAAATATAGGCTAAACGATAGGATAAAAACGACCAAAGTTTATTGCCACAAAATTACGTTTTATTGTGTATTTTGCATTTAGTATTATGGAAAAGCACATATCTCTTCCTCGCGCTTTTCCCCGCACTCAAACACACATAACTTAGCCTACATACAGTTTGGACACATACTCCCATGTTCTCAGCGCTGCTCTAACGATTTTGCGTAAGAAATTAATGTAGTCCCACACACAAGACAAAAACCTGACAAACGTTTTGAAATACATCATCTGACCAATGTTTTGAGGTGTGGTAACCGTAATATACAGGTCCTTCTAAAAAAATTAGCATATTGTGATAAAGTTCATTATTTTCCATAATGTAATGATAAAAATTAAAATTTCATATATTTTAGATTCATTCCACACCAACTGAAATATTTCAGGTCTTTTATTGTTTTAATACTGATGATTTTGGCATACAGCTCATGAAAACCCAAAATTCCTGTCTCAAAAAATTAGCATATCATGAAAAGGGTCTCTAAACAAGCTATTAACCTAATCATCTGAATCAACTAATTAATTCTAAACACCTGCAAAAGATTCCTGAGGCTTTTAAAAACTCCCAGCCTGTTTCATTACTCAAAACCGCTATCATGGGTAAGACTGCTGACCTGACTGCTGTCCAGAAGGCCATCATTGACACCCTCAAGCAAGAGGGTAAGACAGAAAGAAATTTCTGAACAAATAGGCTGTTCCCAGAGTGCTGTATCAAGGCACCTCAGTGGGAAGTCTGTGGGAAGGAAAAAGTGTGGCAAAAAACGCTGCACAACGAGAAGAGGTGACCGGACCCTGAGGAAGATTGTGGAGAAGGACCGATTCCAGACCTTGGGGGACCTGCGGAAGCAGTGGACTGAGTCTGGAGTAGAAACATCCAGAGCCACCGTGCACAGGCACACGTGCAGGAAATGGGCTACAGGTGCCGCATTCCCCAGGTCAAGCCACTTTTGAACCAGAAACAGCGGCAGAAGCGCCTGACCTGGGCTACAGAGAAGCAGCACTGGACTGTTGCTCAGTTTTGCATGTCATTCGGAAATCAAGGTGCCAGAGTCTGGAGGAAGACTGGGGAGAAGGAAATGCCAAAATGCCTGAAGTCCAGTGTCAAGTACCCACAGTCAGTGATGGTCTGGGGTGCCATGTCAGCTGCTGGTATTGGTGCACTGTGTTTTATCAAGGGCAGGGTCAATGCAGCTAGCTATCAGGAGATTTTGGAGCACTTCATCCTTCCATCTGCTGAAAAGCTTTATGGAGATGAAGATTTCATTTTTCAGCCCGACCTGGCACCTGCTCACAGTGCCAAAACCACTGGTAAATGGTTTACTGACCATGGTATTACTGTGCTCAATTGGCCTGCCAACTCTCCTGACCTGAACCCCATAGAGAATCTGTGGGAAATTGTGAAGAGAAAGTTGAGAGACGCAAGACCCAACACTCTGGATGAGCTTAAGGCCGCTATCGAAGCATCCTGGGCCTCCATAACACCTCAGCAGTGCCAAAGGCTGATTGCCTCCATGCCACGCCGCATTGAAGCAGTCATTTCTGCAAAAGGATTCCCGACCAAGTATTGACTATTGAGTGCATAACTGAATATAGTTATTTGAAGGTTGACTTTTTTTATTTTATTAAAAACACTTATTTTATTGGTCGGATGAAATATGCTTATTTTTTGAGACAGGAATTTTGGGTTTTCATGAGCTGTATGCCAAAATCATTAGTATTAAAACAATAAAAGACCTGAAATATTTCAGTTGGTGTGCAATGAATCTAAAATATATGAAAGTTTAATTTTTATCATTACATTATGGTAAATAATGAACTTTATCACAATATGCTAATTTTTTTAGAAGGACCTGTAAGTGGAATAATTGACGGGCCGTTGAATTAGCCTATTAGAAAAATAATGCACACCCGAACTGTAACGGCCGCGACACGCATTATTTTTCTAATAATTCAACGGCTGGTGTCCTGAAATTTCATCCTACCTTATCAATTAATCCTATTATTATGCTTATAAAATGGTTAGTTCCAGTCCTTGATTCTGATTGGTCAATGGCTGTGTTTTATCACGATAAAACTATGACCGCTTCACCCATCCATCGGTGACGTGTATGTATCACTACACATATGTTTCTTAGTGTTGCTTGCCAAAGGCAATCCAAACCCAAAGAGGGATATCTTCACATCTGAATGTCATAGAGTTGGTTTATATCATTCATACTGACAAGCAGCCTTTGGAGTATGCCAAGCCACTCTATAACAACCAAACAGATTACCCTAGAAACCGTTTAGCAAGACCCATTTCTCTGCATCAGAACATTGTATAGAGTTTGGCATAGGCTCTTTTGACTTAGGCTAGCAATCAGCACTTCCATAATGCTACACATGTTAACAGTGAATAGCTACATGCTAATTGCAATTAGCTAAGTGCTAAATCATGCTAAGAACATGTTAAGAATTCTATAAAGCTCCACAGTAACCATCTGTGACAACTACCAACCACCTAGCAACACCATAGCGATCAGCCAGAACACCCTAACAACGTCCTAGCAACCGCCTAGCAATGCCTTAGCAACTACCCAGAACACCTTTGCAACCATTTAGAGACATCATCGGCACAACATTTGTGAGATCTTATATTTGGATCTCAGCACCAGAACATTGTACAGACATGGGGGTGGGCTCTTTTGTTTTGGGCGAGAAATCAGTCTGTAAATATCACCATGGTAACTTTATAACCACACCCTAACAACTGTTTAGAGCCACCTAGCAACCATATTGCAACATATAGAAGCCATATTTCAGCTCCACATCATCGTACAGACATGGTTGTTTCTCTCTTGCAATTGCAATCGTGCAGAACACGTCGCATCTGCCCAGTGCCGAGTTTTGCCACTACAAGAACCACTCACATTTTCTTCAGGAAATGTATATTCTAGTTCTCATTGATATTGTTAATTGAAGCTTAGAGTAGAGTATTTTGAGAGATGAAGTAACGTTAGTGAGTGTACCTGCATTTACAGTAGATATAACATTTTCCTTCAGGTCAGTCCTATATTCGTAATAAAAAATCCGTTTGAATGTCGCTGTGATATCTTGTCCTTTTAACAGTTAAGGGGTTTTCCCTTGCCCTGACGACACGGATAGTCATCATTTGTCAGTTGCGTCTAGCTTTTACCCTTGTTCAATCACAAGTTTCAGTCCTTTCTTCTTTTCTGACTGACTCACGAACGTTGCATTAATACATATTTTTTGGACTTAATATTGTGTGGTAACCGTTTTATAAAAGCAATGAGATACTTGAGGCTAGTGCTGTATCGTGAATAAGTATTAATAAGACTTATTCACGATACAGCACAGCCTCACGCACAGGGCTGCCAAGTGCCAACTCTCAAAGCATTGAGCGTGACACTTTTCACACGCTCTCACGCCACACATCCAGAACTCACGCAGAGAAAAATCGTGACGCATTTACCTCAGAAAAAGCCCTTTAATGACCATAGCATGTTAGTTTTGTTAGAAAAATTAGCTATAGAGAGGAGTATTTTGCTAAATATGAGCACTATATTACATATTTATTATAATTTTACTTATATCATTAAAATATTATGTTGTTATCATAATAAAAACCGCATCATATTTATTTTAACACCTTATTGGCTGCTTAAATATACGTTTCAACCGTTTTAAACAGTGTAAAAAAATATTTTCCGTAAACAAAGAAAGTACAAGTCAGAGCTGCAATAATGAGACAGCAACATTTCGCTGCTCGAGCACTTTATTGACAAAATTCTAAATCGTTCACATTATCACACATAAACATACTAACACGTAAAAAAATATATGTTTTTAAGATGCGATGAAACACTTTGGATGAGTTCACAGATTTTCCAAGCTGGTTTGGCCAAACACGTGAGCATTTCGGTTCTGACGTCATGAAGGATCTTGAGTATGAAAACTTTTACAGCAGCAGCAACGCGGTGTGTGTGTGTGTGTGTGTGTGTGTGTGTGTGTGTGTGTGTGTGTGTGTGTGTGCGCGCGCTATACTCCTGATCAGGTCACCAAATGAATGAATCCGGCTCGTGTATGGGCAATTTTTAAAGCACCATCTAACTTTGGATTCAATGCATTTATCACTCGTCATTAGTGATGACTTGGCTTCTGTTGTGGGTTCTTCTCGCTTGTGTACCACAGGTAAGAAACACAATTATTTATTTAAGGGTTATTTTTTTAACCTATATTGAAATTAAATAAACGCATGCAGTTAAATCCATGCATGCCAAGTATTAGACTATATGTGCTAGCCATCAGCCACGAGATGGATTATTTGGATTAGATGATATTTGTTATTTGGAGACAAAACAAACACGCGGTGGAATAAAATATTAATTAATATTTTAATTTGTGTTAACAGAAAGGTTCTGCCTGCACATTACAATTGATTTGACCTATGTATATACCTGATTAAATTGAATTACATTTTTTTTTATAATATTACTTATTTTCTGTGTAAAATAAAATGAATATAAAAAATAAATATATTAGAGCAGCTTACAATTATTCTCAAATATATTCTACTCTCTAATAAGTGTTTAAAATGAGACCCCTTCCTTATTATCAGACGTTACGTAACAGTTTTGGCATCAGTAATTCTAATCCCCCTATTTTCCTTTTTTTTTTTTTATCACATTTAAAAAAAAAAAGAATCCACATAATTAAAATTGAAATGCGCTTTAAATATGTGACAGGCATTCTTAACAAATGACCTAATGTTTCACGCATTTAAGGAATGCAATGACAACACATGACACTGTCATGTGTGAGACTATTCTATTAGACATTCTCTGACTATACTGCCACCCTGTGGACTGAAGATGTTGGTCAAGATGCAAAGCGAGTATTCAGAGAAATACTCTTATTGGTTTGAATCATTTGACATTTTTAAAGCTTAGTTCCCTCCATTTTGTCTTTGAACATGACAGCCACTCTCTGTGTTTTAGATACTTAGAACTGCCACACTGACAGCAATTTTATGCCTTAATTATATTAACTATGGCAACTATCTGCTGCTAAACTCACACACGCTATAAGAGGTCAAAGGTTAAGGAGCCCTACAGCTGTAAACCAACAGTTCGGTTTACTTTGTGTGTGTTGGCATATCAATCAGTCATGTTAATCAAACATAAGGGCCTAAAGCAGTCGACATTTATCATCATGACCTGTCCTTTAAAACTCATTATTTACATCAGTTTGACTACCATAATTGATGGGGTACAAAAAAAAGTGACATTGGCTAGTGGCTACCATAAGATGATACATATTTTTGTCTACCCACCCATTAGCTCTATTTGTTTCTTGACCTGATGTGCAATAATTTGCCAGTACAAAATGAGATCCATAAACTGACAACAAGTCTATTGCTATTATAATTTGATACATGCAGGAAAGTGTAATTAGAACTGGTTCATTGCTCTGAGATATATATCTTATGTATTGGCGAGTAATGAAGCTACACAGATTCCAATTATAAATGGCAGCATAAACTGCATTTAGACGCTAAATTGAAATGTTTTACATGTCTGAGATAAATAACAACAAATGAAGATGTTTATCTGTGTCACCTAAGACTAAATCATGTAGTGAGGACATATAAATGCTTCATTCCGACCCATTTTTCACAATGTCTGTTGCCAGGAGGGAACATGAGGGAAAGAGAAACAAAAGCCTAAATGTGTCAGAAACAGGAATCTGTTGGGACTTGTGTCTTGTAGATTCACAGGGCATTTTCCCAGGATTCTCCTAAGATGCTGTCCATACCAGAGTCCGTGTCCCCGGAGCCCTATAACCGCACCCAGTACTGCCAATGGCCCTGCGAATGCCCTGAAACTCCCCCCACCTGTCCGCCAGGTGTTAGCCTGATCACGGATGGCTGCGATTGCTGCCAAGCATGTGCCAAACAGGTGGGGGAGGTTTGCAACGAGAAAGAAAACTGTGACCATCATCGTGGCCTTTACTGTGATTACAGTGCAGACAAGCCTAGGTACGAAAAAGGAGTATGTGCGTGTAAGTGTCATTGTACTAACACAGCCTTCTTATTAACACTGTGTTCCGCTCTTAGATTAGATTACGATGAAGATTTAAAGCTTGGATTAAGGTGGACACCGAGCAGAATACATTCTCTCCACCTTTTAGCATACGTTTCCATATAAAACACCACATGCTTTTCTTGGAATTGTATCCACCTTGGATGTGATAAATTTGACTTGACTCATTTGGCTCTTTTTCGCTGTCCAGATTTGCCAGGCACTGGCTGTGAGCACAATGGTGTGATCTATCGCAACGGCCAGAGCTTTCAGCCCAATTGCAAATACCAGTGTCTGTGTGTTAATGGGGCGATTGGATGTGTGTCGCTGTGTAATGAGTCTCAGCCCCCCAGGGTCTGGTGCCAGAACCCACGGCGAGTTCAAATCCCCGGCCGCTGCTGTGAGCTGTGGATCTGTGACGAGTCCAGGAGGGGGCGCAAGACAGCGCCACGACACACAATGGCCGGTATGATCTCAGGCATAGATATCCATAATAAAGGCTAGATGTCTCGTCCGCGCTGCTGGCCAATGGAGGTCGACGTCCGCACCTGGCGGCCATCTTGTCACAGGCAGCTCGCTCACTCGTAACATTGTGTTTTATGGTGCATGTACTTTTTAAATAACCATAACTTGCTCAACTTTCTACCGATTCTCAAACGGTTTGGTTTGTTATAAACGTCAGAGATGTAGTTATGACACTGCACACTTATGAATAATAAGTGTATAAATAAATAATCATCCAGAATTATAGCCACGTTAATAACGTTTGTAAGAAACCAAACCGTTTGTAAATCCGTCAAGATTTTAACTAGATAAGAGTATTTGTGTTCGTGCTGATCACTCATCTTACATCAGGGACCACAGAGCCCGACAGAAAGCTTGCCTGTGACAAGATGGCCGCCAGTGATGACGATAGAGACTCCGCCGTAAGACATCTAGCCTTTATTATGGATGTCTATGATCTCAGGTGTCTACCGTACTTCCAGCAATTGAATGAAAACTCATTCTGGGCAGATAAGAATTGATCTGCATAATTAAGAGATAACATAAAGGGATTTATGTTGTCTTCTTTTACTTGTGGTGTTGTGATTAGCATCAGTTACCAAAAAATATATAGGCCTACCACTATATAACGATGTTTTTCACAGTTCTGATTTTTATTTTTATTATTATTTATATTAAAACATATTGCCAACAGAATATTTCAAGGAAACTGCTGTTTTTTTCTACATTAAGATAGAAAAGTATTCTGGCCTGATTTTCTATGGTCAGAATTTGTGGTTTCCAGACCTGGAAATGTCTATAGTAAATATACATTTTGTAGTCTTGATCAGTTAATTATATTATGATTAAATTTTTTTTATATTTATTATACTAAATATAATGTAAATGTACACCACTGTTCTACAGTTTGAGGTCGGTAAGATTTTAAAAAAAAAGAAGTCTGCAGAAGGCTTCATATACATATATTTGATCAAAAACACAGTTTTAAAATACATTTTAGAATGTAATTTATTCCTGTGATGATAAAGCTGAATTTTCAGCATCATTACTCCAGTCTTCAGTGTCACATGATCCTTCAGAAGTCATTCTAATATGCTGATTTTCTGCTCAAGAAACAGTTCTTAATGTTAAAAGCAGGGAACCGTCTGTGATACGCTTTTTTTCAGGTTTCTTTTATGAATAGAAAGTTCTAACTAACACCATTTATTTCAAATAGAAATATTTTGTAACATTATAAATGTCTTTACTGTCACTTTAGATCAGTTTAATCCATCCTTGCTGAATGAAAGGAAATAAAAATCGTAAAAAAAAAAAAAAAAACATTACTGACCCCAAACTTGAATGGTAGATAATTGGAAAATAATTTTTAAATCTCACGAATGAAGAAAGCATTCATTGTTTTCTCTGCATTCTTACAGCCCTGTCTAGTATAAAGGACAGCTGGCACAATAACTGTGTGACCCAGACGACCTCCTGGAGTCCCTGCTCAAAGACCTGCGGCCGTGGAGTGTCTTTACGCATAACTAACAACAACAAGCAGTGTCAGATGGCCAAAGAAAGCAGGCTCTGCAACATCCGGCCTTGCAAAGTGGACATCACAAAGCACATCAAGGTACAGCAAGAGCACAAACATCACATTTATTGTTATATAATGAATATCAAATTTCCAACTGAGAGCGATATGAATGACTATAGTGTAAAAAGGATGTTTTTTTTGACTCTCCACAAGCCTGGAAAGAAGTGCTTGAACATCTACAGGGTGGAGAGGCCACACAACTTCACCATGTCTGGCTGCACTAGTACAAAAACATATTGGCCCAAATATTGTGGCGTGTGTACTGATGAACGCTGCTGCATCCCCTTCAAATCGAAGACCGTGGAGGTCGACTTTCAGTGCCCGAACGGATCCGGCTTCACCTGGCAGGTCATGTGGATTAACGCCTGCTTCTGCAACCTGAGCTGTAAGAACCCCAATGACATATTTACAGATCTAGAGCAATACCATGAGAGAAGTGAGATTGGAAACTGAGTGTACAAGACATTGCAGAAAAGTCAATAATAAGATTTGGGTGAAAGCCACAGATTTGTTTTTCTTTAATTTGTTAATAGTTAGGGTTAGGGTTAGCCATCATCAAATGACCATCATCATTCTTTCTTGTATGAGACTTTTTTTCCTATTGGAAAAATTGAAATAAACGGACATTTCCTAATATATGCTATTTTAAGACTATGTGGCCTCTTGCAACCCAATTATTCACATCTGTTAGGTTATTTCAACCAAGATTATTATTGTGACAAATATCCTTTTGTACAAATTATGTAAGTAAAAGATATGTAAAAAGACAAGTTCTTGTTGACTTCTGTAGGTAGAGGTCTTAATTTATGCAAAGTCTATGTAAAGAAGAAATTTATATTGCTTTTTGTAATTTAATACCTTTTTTCCACATTTATGCTCTTAAATGTAGTCCTTGGAGCAAGTTATGCCTTATAAAGTTTGACCTTCCATATACTGTGTGTATGTATGGACACAGTTCTGAGTTATCAAATAAACAGACAAAAAAACTGAGTAACCAGCTTTTTATTTTCTTTCTTTTTTAATAAATACAAACCGTTATTCCATTAAAAATGCAGTGCATCAGGTTGTTTACATCTTTACAAAGCGAGGGGCCTTATCAAGCTGCAAGCATTTGTTTTAGTGTGCGTGGAAGAGCAGGTGTGTTGCTTATATTTATCTGTCTCTCCGTGTGATCCTTCGCTTTATTTTTTCAACGCCTTGAGAAAAAAAATCCAGTCCAAGTAGAGGATTCCATGGCACATTTTGTTCTCTTGTGCTTGATTGCATAGAAATCATCATTATTACATACAAAAAACAACAAAAATGTCACTCATATACAGACATTTTCCTGTATCCTTCTATCTACAAATTGTTTTGTTGAATTTAAACTAATGTTAAAACAATTAATCCATAAAAATCATTTAAAATTATTTAAGAGCATAATTTACTGAGTTACAAATATAACCCAAAATAATGGGACACACACAGGAAAATGAAAATCAACACATTAGGAGCTTATACCTTAGTTTTATAAGGTAGGTTAGCATCATGAAAAAAATACCACCATCTCTACTGTGTGGTCAACACATCCCTTTTTCATTCAGTGAGGTCCATTTCAACATATACAGATTATACAAATTAATTATGCACTCAAACTAGCATGAAAAAGGTGTGGTATAATAACTTGACAGAAGAAATTAAATTGCCGACTAGAGATCAACATAAATTTACAAACATGTGCCCTTCTCAGTGCCCAGTATACTTTGATGATGACCATCACAATAACTCTGCTGCATTGCCTCTAACAACAACAAGACAGCCATTGCGCAGGGTGCAAAAAAGAAATAACTCCATCATCCTTTCCTTTGCCACTCCTTCCTCAGCGTTTCCCCAGGAAATCGTCTTAAACACAAGACACTTTGGCGTAAATGCTCTCTGACTAATAAAATGGTGCCTGAGGGACCCCTGAGGGAAACATGCGGCAGTCTTGTTGCGTGGGTAGTTAGTGGCAGTGCAGCACAGTCAGAACAGAGAGGTTAATGCATGTGTGAGATGGACCGGAGACAAGGTCACCAGTCTAACAGGACACTTCGGTGGACTTGGGAGCCTGGTCCACAGAACTGTCCATGTTGTCGGTGTGTGAACGTCCACGTTGGTTTTCAGAGGTGTGGGCTCGAGCGCGGCCTTCATTGGTGTGGGAGCGACTGCGGTTGCCCTCGTTGGTGTGCGACCTGCTGCGGTTCCCATCAAAGGAGGTGATGCTGGATCCGGATGCTGTGCGGGAACGGACCAGGCGGGTCATGCTGGCAGAGGGCACTGAGAGGCAGAGAAAGATAGATTAGGATACATTTTAAAGTTTTTTTGCATTTGCTTATCAAATCTGATGTATGCATTATGTTACATGTCTCCAAGTTTAATATAAAGAAACACTACCGTTCAAAAGTTTGGGGTCGGTAATATATTTTATGTTTTTTTTTTAAGATTTCTCATATGCTCACCAAGGCTACATTTACTTGAACAAAAATACAGTACAATTGTGAAATATTATTACTACCGTTTTCTTTTTTAATATATTTTAAAATGTAATTTATTCCTGTGGTGGCAAAGCTGAATTGTCAGGATCATTACTCCAGACTGTGTCACATGATCCTTCTGATTTGCTGCTCAAGAAACATTTATGGTGTTATTTATGGTTAGAAATTATTTATGGTGAAAATAGTTTTTAATGGAAACTGTGGTGCATTTTTTTGATAAATAAAATTGTCTTTTTAACATTATAAATGTCTGTCACTTTTGATCAGTTTACTGTGTCTTTGGTGAATAAAAGTATTCATTTAACTTACTGATCCCAAAATTGTTTTCAAAATTAGACATTTCACTTTAAAGGGGTCATATAATGGTACATGCACTTTTACAAGTTGATTGTGCTGAAATGTGTGTTGGCAGTGCCTGTACACAACCATCATAAAATGATAAAAAAAATCCATCCATTGTTTTTGTTTTAATCTCCTTATATGTTTTCCCGTCTCAAATCGAGCCGTTCACACGGTCGGAAGCCCCTCCCACGATTGCTGATTGACAGCAGCATTTCAACACAGACCCGCCCTCGCTCGTGAGGGAGCTGTCAATCATAGTCTGCACGGACCGGCGCGGTCATTGTTGATATGCTGGAGCACTGTCTATGAGCAGAATGGCGTCTAAGCGATTGTGGTGTTCTGTTCTTGGGTGTAATAACGAACACAGTCATTTTAATGTTCCTAAATCCGAACCGCTGAAGACGCAGTGGCTGAGTTTGTTTCGAAGGGAATATTCCCCACGAGCAACGTCAATGCTTTCATGTTTGCGCGAATCATTTCTCACCAGACTGCTTTATAAACGAGGGTCAGTATAAAGCTGGTTTTGCTAAGAAGCTGCTCATGAAAAAAGGATCGGTACCAGCTATTCATGTTCCTGCTGAACCTCTAGAACAACTGAAGTGAGTGTAACGTTTTATATTAATATATTAATCTTTGCAAATCGCTAGCTGCACGCTTCACAATGAATGCGTCTAAGGTTTACACTTAGGGTACATTACGGCATGTTCTATGTATGATGTTCTCAATATAATTCATATTCCACGTTTATACTGAACAACGCGTTATGGTTATTGTGTTACAAACGGTGTACGCACAGAACAGAGAGGCGGAGTGAGCAAAGCTCATTATCATTTAAAGGCATATGCACTGAAACGGCATGCTGAAAACAGAGCTGTTTTTGACCAAGTAAAATAAGTGTTTTCTTACAATACTAATGAGAATTTTTAATTAAAGTATATTACAAACTTTTAATTTAGACCCTAAAGAATCATACTAGCTTGTACAAAAATGGCATTATATGACCCCTTTAAGAAAAGGTCAAATTGACCAAGTCAGGTTGAAATTTAAATCACACCTCTAGAGGGCAGCAGAGCCCCATCATTTATGTTGTTATTCGTACACGAATTTCACAAGAACGAAGGAGTTCAGCCACTGCAACGTGTATTTTTATAAAGACACAGATGTATGGAAAAAAACAGACTATACTGAACAAAAAGACAACAACAATACTTACTGTAACCCATGCCCTGAATGAAGTACTTGAAAGCCTCTGTTAGCTTCCCAGGCTAAGGAGACAATAAAAGGAGACAAAAATCAGGTCGTTAATCAGGTCGAGGTGGAAAACAGATTTCACTAAGTACATGTTGAGAAACAGGATGGATTCTAACAGCTGGTAGCAGCAGGTGGCTATCTGAGAATTAGAACTGTGCCATTGCCGTCCGTAATGAGATTAGTGCGCGCTTCATCCCTAATGATCATCCTGTACCTTGAGCAAACTTGTAAATTAATCTAAATGATCATAAACTTTATAAATACACACCTGGTCGACCTGGGGCAAGCCTCCACAGTCAGCCATCTGAAGAAAGAAGAGGCACATGAGGTGTTAGTTAAAATGCAGGGTAAACACAAATGCGTCACTGCTTGTTTCTCATTTCTGTTTCTGCCATTCATGCAGGTGTCTAAAACACCTAGTGCTCCATTAACTCCACTGGTCTCAGCACTTATCGGTGATAAATAGGCCATTTCGGATGCCATAAACCTAATTCTTAGTCTACCTGAGGGTGGGCTGTGGAAAATTAGGTCAGCCGAGGTAGAAATCAGCCCCGAAGCTGGCCAGTGTAGACCGCTTCTGCTCTACCTGGGTAAATTAGTCACTAGATAATGCTGAGCTATCGGAATCTTATCAGCCCCGACTTTTCCATGTGGACTATAAATACCTGCCAGCTTCACTGGAGGCCACTCACCTTAAGCAGTGTGGCTTTGGTCGGGTCCAGCTTTGTGTTGCACTCAACCTGTACAGAAAAAATTCATTTTAAACTCCTAAATATACATGCAACAGATATGAAGTGTGGAGCAACAGTGTGCAGGATTACATACATTTAACAAAGTCCGTTTTTAATAAAAAAATAAAATAAAAAAAAACTTAAAAATGTGGCAAATATAATGCAATGAAGTAGTCCTGGATTATAAATTTAAACCTACCACAGCATCCACTGCAGGGGAACTGTCTCCAACCACCAGGAGTGCAGGACATCTAAAAACAGTGTGACAAAGTCATGACTACAGGAAATCCTACATTCTCTAAACGTTTTTTAAACCGTTTCAGACTTACTTTAGAGTTCTGACATTGACGTGGCCACCGGGTATAGGCCTCTCGATTTCCAGGTCTCTGCGGCTGTGAAGTGGATGAAAACATTGATTAAATGTTATGTCAACGGACATTGCTTTTTAGCAAGACGTTTTAGTTTTAGTTTTAGTATTATGCTTACCTGTTGTAGGACTTGACAAAGAGTTCCAGATTGAACTGGTTCATGTCATTCACAATGTGGTGACGGTACCTGCCAATAAGATCATGGTTCTGTTGGATTTCTTCCTGGAAAAATAACAATAATAAACCCATTCATGTTAGTATAAATCCATTAATTAAAAGAATTATCTAAATTGGGTCGGACATTAAACTTGACCTACCTTTCCGAACAGGTGAGAGATGAGCATGTCAGGCATGGCATGAGTCCAACCAGAGATCTGTAAGATATGCGAAAAATGAGCCGATGAAACGACAGACACAAAAGCTTGAAACGCTATATAAATTATGAATTTTAGTGGTTAGCACTCACTTTATGTGCTGCCCAGTCCATCCAGCCTTCAGCACATGGGTTGATGTTTATTAGCACAAGGCCTTCCACCATAGCAGGGTAATCCAACTGAAAACGAAAACAGCATTTCATCTAAACACATTTAAACGCTTAAATAAAGAAACCGCAAGTCAAGCAGTATTTTTGGGACATTCCTCAGCAGCTAAACTAAACAAATGAATGCCAAAATCCACAGGAAAAGAAACTCTCTTTTATCCTAGTTTAATTAAAACTTGAAATCACTTAATAATAATCAAAAAAGAAATCAAACTCACAGCAAACTTAGCAAGGATATAAGCACCTGCTCCAACAGCCAAACCAATCACACTCTTCAGTCTGTGGGGTTTAAGAAAATCAGTTTAGGATAAAAAAAAAAAACTTAAATCTACCTTAAGCTGTTAAATAATAAGATAAACACCTCACCCAAAATGTTTAAGGATTGATGGAAGAGTCTCAGACAGTTGGTCCATGGAAGGGTACTCATATCTATATAAATATATATACACAAAAGTCAATTATTATATTTCTGCATTCATTTATAGATATCCACTTGTCCGTCTAAATATATTATAACTCACCCAGTTGAGAAGGTGTTAGCTCCCTCTTGCTGCCCTGGTGCATCTACATGACACACAGCAAAGTGCTGCATGATCTCTTGCATGTCCTCATGGCTGAACAAGGGTTCAAAGCAGCTTTTTTCTATTGGAGAAGCATAACATATACATTAAAGCCGTTATACTTATGAAGAACCTCTTGATTATCATGTCTTGTAAAGCAAAACAAAAAGATTTAAGGGACATTTTCAACAGTTTTATAATTGGAGATACAGTTTAACAGTATAACAGCTTACGGTTCAGTCCAATATCATGGAAGGTGAGAATGACGGGCCGGTCACCCTTCGGAACTCCTTTCATGGTACAGTGGATTCTGCCAAATGGAGTCTCCACATCATGTTCCTACATGACAATACAATGCTTATCAGCATCTGCTGAACAATCATAAGCAGCATTACAGCACCATTAATCTGATCTGCGGTACAATTTACTTCAATAGCGCATATCTCAACGACAACTTGTGAATGTTTATTCTGTGTAATTAACACCCTTCAGTTTTTGGACTGTTTTAACAGAGTAGCCATGCAATTTAAAGTAACATTTAAGGGCAAGCACAAGTTGAAACCCGTCTGCAAATTAACCACGGACCAACTGCAAACATTTTAATGCTCTATGCACTTTGGTTATAAATCTAAAGCTCACAGTCAATGAAAACTATCCGTCTGATTTCACAAAGCATCAAACCCCAATTATGACTGACACAGTAATTCCTTTCTGTCAAAACCCTTTGAACCACTAAGACAACAAAAATGGTCAATGAAATCCCTAAAATGTATTAGCAAAAAGCAAGATGAAGGCTTCTACTCACAGCGACTTCAATCTCGAATACTAATTCCATTTCAGAGTCTTCCAGAACCATGGCTGCCAGCTTAGTAAATTACTATTAGTAAATCAGTAATTAGTGATGTGAATGAATATAAGATCCGATTGGAAGTAAGCTCCTGTGGCACTTTGCTAATATTCATCTGTGCGCAGGGTTTTATACCCCTGTTGCTGTCGCTCGACATAAGCCCCATGGTCCCAGCATGCTTTGCACCAAGCTCAAAACAAGTTAATTCTAGTTAACGACATCCGTAAATTGGATCAGCCTGTGCCAGGTGCTTGGAGTAGCCAACTCTAGGCCATCGGAAACTTGGGCACGTGGAGCCAAACTATAATGTGATGATTGGGGTGGCGGTTCACATTGAATAATTGTTGTCTTCAAGTAAATCAGAAATGAAATGCAATTGAGCTACATAGAAGCTCAGCACATGGTAATGGCCAATAACTGCAATATTTCTTTAATTTTTTCATTCTAAAAGAAATGACTAAAGTACATTTGAAAGACCACAACTTGACTAAAAAAAACATTTCCAATGAGATTCTGTATTTCTTCACGTTTTCCCATGTTTCAAAATGGAAGCTGCAGAACCACTAAAACCAACAAATCACAAATCATCTCCAACGGATTGAACTTTAACTTTCAATTTAACTTACTCAAAGTTAATTTAACACTAGTGATAAACAATGACAAATAACCGCCATGCACTGCAAGAGTCATTGAGAAAAGTCTTTGAGTGCAGGTCTCCGGTCAAAGATCAACTGGCTGACGCTGCAGAAACTAGTTTCAGCTGCCTCAAATTGAAGCACAAGCTGCTACATCTAACATCTTTAACACTGACAAGGACATAAACATCTTGGCTTTGTATAGTGACTGAACACAAACATATGTTGTCTCCCTATCGGCACTAATCTCTTTAAACGGGACGAGGCCTACGTGAGCAGCTCAGGCAGATGGCCGGTGTATCCCTCAGCAGCCCACGTCATTCATCTAGAAGCTGAACACTCTTATTGAACACATGACCCAAACTTCAGCACTTTAATCTGTGTGAGGATCAGCACGCAAGGCCAGTTGGATGCATCTCAGAACTGCTGTAATGCCATGGTGTCATGACTGGCAAGAACTTTTCAGTTAAAACTTCTGTCCAGAGTAAAGTCCTTCCTATAGTTTAAAGATCTTGAAAGAGTTATACATACTTCGTCTCATCTCGTTTGGATTATTGTACTTCCTTATATGTCCCTGTCCTCTGTCATGGCTTCAAATGGTTCAAAATGCTGCAGCCAGATTTGTAACTGGGGTTCGTAAACGAGAACATATTACTTTAATTTTAATGCCAGTGCGTTATAGAGTTGAATTGAATGGTCTGGCATCTTCTTATTTGTCTGAACTTTTAAACTTGAAAACGCCGGTCAGATACTTGCGGTCCTCAAACAATAATATTCTTTCCTTTCCAAGATCAAGGTTGAAGTTGAAAGGAGACCTAGAAGTTGTTGGACCTAGGCTATGGAATAGTCTGTCTCTGTGTGTGTGTGTGTGTGTGTGTGTGTGTGTGTGTGTGTGTGTGTGTGTGTGTGTGTGTGTGTGTGTGTGTGTGTGTGTGTGTGTGTGTGTGTGTGTGTGTGTGTGTGTGTGTGTGTGTGTATACATATATATATATATATAGCCTTAGTTAGTTAGCAAAGTTACAGATGCAGAAAACCATCCAAATAAAATCCAAAAATGAAATGCTTGCCTTAATCACCAGCTGCTGGACAGCCTCCCTTAACCCCTAGAACAGAGAAACAGTGTAAGTTAATACTATACGTGTTCACTACTTTCTTATCCATAAATATGTACATTCATTACAAATCTTGACCAAGACAACGGTGTTTCCCATACTTGCAAATCCCTGTCCACAAGCAGAGGCTTTGACTCAACGACCTGGATATCATCCATTCTCAACGAGGACACCTAGAGGTAGGAAAAAGCTGACATTAACACAACAAATAACAACAACAAATAACACTTCCAATAATTTACCGCTAACTTCCTCCAAGGTCAAGTTACATGTTTGGTGTAATTCAGTTTTGGCAACGGCTATTTACAACTACTTTATGAGTGGATATCCTGAGTGGAATCACGGAAATAAGATCCTTTCTCTTTTGTTTTGCTTAAAAGCCTTAAGCATTGTCACTGTCATGACAAAGTATTTATTTCTTAATTTTACAGTTTCATATTTTCAAGGTTCAATGATATTTTATTTGTCACATACTGTACATATATGCAATGGGGCAGTGAAAAGCTCCTCCCTAGTTTCTCATTCCAGTGCAACAAGAATAATAATAGACTATCAAGAATATTATGTGAATAAAAACATGTTTTTTTTTTAATGTAAATGTATTATATTATAAAGATTAAAAATTCTAAATATAAAAAATTATACAATATATTTGTTCATCATGTTATGTTTAGTATAATTTAATTATAAAAACAATTTCATGACATTATTTTTGCAACTGTAATCTGGGGTAAATTTATTGGATGCCACTCCTGTGCAGCATTATATAGTGTGTATATAAACGCATGCGATCACTATATTTGCAGTTTTAGATCCAGCTTTTGCAATTTTGCAGTTTAACTACAGCAAGACACATTTCACACATTACGCATACATTTCTTTGTGTGCGTTTTTAAAAATTATCATTATATCCTTAGCTTTTCCAAACAGCCCAATTTGTTTTGAATGATGCAGATCATGCATTTCTGAAAGACTGTTGATGCGCATGCAAATTGAACGAGAGCTTGAACAGGCTCTTTGTCTGACTGAGGTTTCTAAAGGTCACATGTCAGGCTTTTCCTCTGTAGCGGGTCTGGACGCTACACACAGGAAGCCACAGACACAGCTGCTTCCATGGCTCCTGCAGTCCCTCCACCCCTTAAACACTGGCCATTTTTTCCAGCTCTGCTCCAAAACCAGCATGAAAGCCTTTGTCTTATCATCCCACAGGTTCAAGGAGTGTTCCTGTACCAAGCCCCTATAAAGAAGGCAGCAATTGATTTTCTAATTCACAGACGAGCTCTAGGAACCAAGCCAAGCCGTTTATCAAGAGGAATTTCTGTGGTTCAAAAAGCATGATTGTGCAGTCCATCATTTGCTGAGGTTTCTACAGAAGCCCCCTACACACATTCCTGACCAGAATCATGTGAGAACTGAAATTACTTGTGAATACTAACCAAGCTAGAAGAACTCAGCTTAATATGTATAAATATATATATATATATATATATATATATAAATATATAATCAAAATCAAATACAAGTAAAGTCAACAAGTAACGGTCCGCTGGCAAGTAGGTCACCTGCTTGTTTTTCAGTTACCTGCCCTTATGGCCCCTCTTTACTAATCTTTTACCTGGGAGTGGCTGGCAGTGGCAGTAATGTCTCAGCAGGATATAAACTGCAGTAACATAAGGACAGATCCTGCCCTTCCCATACCCTAGAACACTCACTGTACTTCAAAACATCCCAATTCACCTGTCCATCTCTCCAGACAGGTTTCCCTTTCAGTTTACAATGGTAAACATGACTTACTAATCTCTTAAATTAAATATTGGAACTGATAACAGATACATTGTATATTTGTATATTTGAACGTGCATATGTTTGTTTTCATTAACTTTGGTTGCTATATAGCATCAAAATCCGTAACTATTTTTATGTTGGAACATACAGTACCAGTATTTCATACAGAGGAGAGGGAAATGCTTCTCTCATAACCATTTCTTCTTCTTTTTTTTCAGTGATTTCCAAATTTCAATTAACTGTGTCTGAAAATTTAACTATAATCAGTTTCAGAACCATCAGAGTTAAGCCCATCTGCAGAAACAATGACTGCTTCCTTAATCTTTGGGAATCTTAAAATCCACAATTGATCTAAATCTGGAAGCCTGGAATTAAATCTGGAATTAAGCATGTGTTGTAGACCTATATTCTTATATTGTGAGAGATTTTGAACTTAATGCACATTAGATCGATTACTGCAGGGGTGCTGCATTCTTACAAAATTTCTTCTCACGTTTAAGCAATAACACTTGTTGACCTATAACACTAACAGACAATAATCTCTGATCTTTACAGGCATGTATGCATAACTTTAAAATCGATATACATATTTTATACATTATCCTTCATGTCAATATTGACATCAGTATACAGCCTGCTCTACATGAAGCAATTCTTAAAAAAACACAGCTCTGATGCACCTCAGCCCTAGTATCAGAGGTGGCTCTGATGCTGCGTTGCTTTTGCGCAAATAATTATTTTAAGGGGCAGTTCTGGCTTAATGGGTAGAGAGTAGGACTTGTAACCTGAAAGTTGCGGGTTCGATTTTCAATACCGGTGGGAGAGTGCTCTCTTCCACGCTCAATGCCCACGACTGAGGTGCTCTTGAGCAACGCTAACCCCCAATCACTCCACAGGCGCCACAGGTAATTGCTGCCCACTGCGCCGGGTGTGTGCATCCACGGTTTCTAGTGCGTGTGTGTGTGTGTTCACTACACACTGCTCCTAATGTGTGAGGAGGTGGACTTGGATAGGTTAGATGCAGAGGACAAATTCCGAGTGTTTAAATCCTTCATGTCATGTCACTTATATTTCTATTCATACCTTATTGAATATTATTGTTTATAATTCCAAATGTTTTTGTTAAATCCATGCATTTATATATTTAATATATTCCAAATTTTATATTTAATATGTTCAGTTCCTAAGAAAAATTCAAAGCTTCTATGGCAACACAAAGTAGTCTATTGAATCTTTAGGATCTGCTTTGAGAACAAGTAAACAAGTAAGCTTGACGTTGAAATTATTAGTATTTCACAAATGTCTAATAGTAATACAAACAGTTAATCAGCATATTGTGTCTGATCATGCAAATTATATGTTATTCAGATGGGTCAGGTGAAATAAAATGTAACCCTTAAAGCTAGATAAATGGTTGACTCTGATCTAGTCTCTGTGGTTTTCCTGTCTGGTTTCAGTAACTGTACTGCTCATTTTGCATGCAACACACCTGATTCAGGTCATTAGGAGAAAGCTCCATAAACTGAGTTTAGTTTGACAGATATGAAATGAAAGATATACTAAATGTGCAGTGAGGTGAAAACTAATGTTAGTAGATATCGTACAACTCATATTCATTTTACCACTCGAGCTCACACTTTGTTGACATTTGCACGTGCAGCCAATTACACGCACGCGCGGAATGATAAACAAAAAAACTAAAAAAAAAACTAAAAAACAATTGCGGTTTCGCTGTACAATTATAGGATACTTTTTACTGTTTATTATTGCTGTTATTGATACTGTTTAAATCGGGTATCTTTTCTTTAAAGCTGATAAATACATATCTTGTTCGATATCATGTCAGAGATGTTTTACACACGGTCTGCGCTTTTATTAGATAAAGAAACAGCCAATATTGTAGCATAAAAAAATATGATATAGCTCTTTTTATGACTTACCGGTTGATTGTCCCAAGAATAAAAACAAGAAAGTCCAACAAAACTAAAGTGTTTGCAGATTTGGAGGATGACAATTGACTGCGTGCTGCTCGCGACAGGATGTAGAAGGCAAGCAAGCAATTATAAAGATGTGTGTTTAGTCAGTCCTGCCCACTCCTCCTTCTATTGGGTAACTTCATTGAGTCATGCCTTCTTTCACGGCATTGCGTGAGATATGATGACTGTGGAAAATAATTTGTCTGTCCCTGCTAGATGAATACTAATTGCATATTAATAATACAGAATACTTTCAAAACTGGTTATTAGTTTGAATCAATAAAGTAGCCTATTGTTCAGAGTGCATGCCTCTGTATGCATGCGTGTGTGTCCTCTCTAACAACACAATGCTTTCACTGTGTTTAGCTTATTTGAGGCAGTGATAACAAGCACATGCACAATGGACACATTGCTCAGGAACTACCAATATGCTGATCAACTCTCAAGCACCATTTACACCACAAACTGAATTAAAGGGAAAAGTAGGCCTAAATGCAGATAGAATTTACTTCTAAAGCTATGTTCAGCATGAAAGACTTTTTATAAATCAAAACTGTCAGAAGATCACAGATATATTAGGTTGTTTGATGTAAAGCCATGCAATCGGCCAGCTCATATTGTGTTGTGGAAAAATACTGAGACCATTGTTAACCAGATAAACTTTTATGATTTTAAAATTTATAGGCAAATACATATTGAATCAAAGAGTTGGCTGCTCGGGGTTCTAAACTGGGTTAAAGAGAATAATAACTGATAAGGTTTGTGGACTTTTACCTGAGAGGTTCATATCTCTGTGTACTCAGAACAGAGTTTCTCATGGAGTCTGGTGCTACACTCATTTTTAATCATCCACCTAACATCTCCATTTATATATTTATAAAAACAAACTTGATTCCTGCAGTACTAATAACGTCAGAGCTATAAGTTAGAGGTTGACTATAGCTTTCAGCCATTCTAAATGAAATATTATAGCACACAATCTAAAGGATATCATTCCGTTATGTCAGAACTATCACTTTTATGTCAGGTCTCTGTTTTCACAAAATCTGGGATCATGACATTGGCTTCTATTCATGTCCTTGCACTTGAAATACAGAGCAGGATTCATCTTGAACAACTCGTATCTGGTTTACGCAACATGGAGGTCATTGGATTCCTCGTAAAGAACAGATAAAACACTGACCTCTCTCGTCCTACGGGATCTTGGCATCAGACGAATCAAATGAATAAAAGGAGGTTCAAAACCAAAGGCCGTTTTCTGCATTGGCCATCCAACAACAGGACAAAACATTCATTATGTTATCATTTAAACCACACAGAAATGCCCACATAATCCAAATGAACATTACAGCTGCTGGATCACTATATAACAGTATTAAAGGCACCTTCATTTCAGGTATTGAAAGGTCAATGGGGGCTAGTTTGATGTAGAAATGTTGACTGACAAGAGAACAGTAGATTACTGCCCTTGTCCCTTATCCTTGCTGACTTGTCTAATTCTACAATGTTCACCAACAAGACCATTCCCATTTAAGGTATTATTTTACACTTCAAACTATATTATTCAAACAATAATATTAGTAATATTCTAGTGCTCCTGTTTCAAACCCAGGATTTAGCATGCGTAGTATCAATCATCTTAAAGTCACCATGAAAATAAAATGGACATTTCTTATGTTTTCATGAAATATTGCAGAATTTATTATAATGATTTATAAATTTATGTGCACTTCTTTAATCAAAATAACATCCCGTCCCTCTTGTAACGACATATCCTCTCTTCTCTGACGATGTGTTACTCTGTCACTCACACAGCAATAGTAAACCACCATCATTCCAGTCAAGTCCCACCCGAAAAAAATTTTTTGTTCAAGATGTTTCACTCTGATAGTATACGTCACAATAGAGGGGAAAAGACTATTGCAACTTCTGTTTCATGCTGACTTTAAACTGCATTAAACTGCTTTAGTGCAGATGTAGTATGTGATGCAATAACAGTAGTCAGATGTAGTATGAATCATACTAAGCCTGCATGATTCAGACACACATGACATGAGACAGCAGGCTGCAATGTAGGCCTCACCTCAACCTATCACGTAGTTCAGAGCGGGTGCTACTCAGTTCAATGTCTCGTATTACTGATTTACCAAAGATGACAATAGGATGTCTTAAAGTTATACACAATGAAAATAAACACTGTTTACAGTGTATTATGGGAGCGTTGAAGCAGTTTATAGTATTTTTTGTAAGTATTAAACAGTGGATAAATCCCCAAAATGTGATGGTTTCATTCACAAAAGATGAAATAAACAAGTTGCAGAATTAGGTCATGAAGTAGATGTTAATAAATGATGAGCAATGATGTGCCAACACCAACTCTTCCATGTGCGATCAAAGTATTATGGATTATGTATTAACGTGTGTTGTGGAACAGCACAAACAGCAGCTCATAAACAGACAATATAAACAAGCTACCATGCAAAAGAACCCCCCCCCCCCCCCCGACATTTCACAATTACTAAAAAATTACTAATCTTCATCATGTCTCAGCTGTGAGGAAGTGCTTGCTAGTAGTTCATTGGTGCCACTGGACGAACAGGCATAATATTTTTAGAGGTCATTTCTAACAGAGACTGTTGTAGTATCTGATCTTCAATCAGTTTATCTCCATTATCAATACTGGTCAAAACCATTATAAGGGCACTTTACTACTCAGTTCACTTTGATGCTTATGATAAAGTTACTCAATAACTACAGCCATAAATTGCAGGGCATAATGTGAAAGAAATATTTGGTGTAGATGTACTACTTTCTGACTATACTGACTATTTCTATTACAAACGGTCCACAGAACAGTTGTTGCTTCGTTTCTCTTTTGTCCAGACACACCCTGGGCTGTTCCCCGGCAAAATAAACCACTCTGCGTGAATTATTTTCACAGCTTCATCTTCTTCACCAGTAGGTGAAAGTGGATTGATTTCATAAGTGTTATTGTAGCAGAGCTAATTCGCCTGATACAAAGGGCCTGGGTGCATGGGATCACCTACATGAAAACTCCCTCTCCACCATGTCCACTTTACTCTGACCTGGCAACATGGTAGCATTCTTGCTACAGGTCATTGCCTTTGCTGATAAGATGCAACTGATTACTGAAGGGGAAAATTGCTCTGACCTGACATTGTTTTGTTTTCCATGAAAATAACCTTTAAAACAGGACCTAAACTCATTCACTAACAACTTGCCAAAGGTGACACTACAAGGTAACCAGCAACCATCTTGTCCAAGCTAAATCTTTAGGTTTTAAACATTGCTTGACTGCAACACAACAGTCTAGAAAGGTGATAATTATTTGTGTCATGCATGAATCGGCAACATAAGTCTAGTATACCCGTTATATTTCCATGTATTTTAGGCTAGATGGGGAAACTGTTGAGGCCAAACAGGACTGCTGCACCACAGGAGGGCCACGGGTATTGATATTACTAAAAACAGGAAAACTGGGTTTGGAATTTCTGGAGAAAGAAAAAACAGTTCAAATATTCACCTTCTGGTTCATCTGCCACAGCTGGAGAGTTTGGTTCCGCAGTCTGTGTAGTGCTTGAAAATTGAATTCTCGGGAAATCTAATGGAAGTATCACCTCATAGTGCTGAGAAATACAAATGAGATGTTTTGCCCTTGTGCAAACTGAAGGAAAGTATCCAAGTGTCTTAGTTTGCAGGTTGAGCAAATAAAGTGAAATAAGTACTCAATGAAGAAATTACTTGCCCACTGATTTTTTCAGTAAACTGGAGCCAAAGGCAGTGGTAATAATTACTCCATTGCTGAGGTAGATTATGGACACCGCTGCCTTGCTAGTGCGATCTCTCTGTTAATCATTTTATCCACCTTTTGACCTTATAGCCAGTCATATAGGACTTTCCTCTCTGGTCCACACAACATGCTCACAGCATCAAAACAAAGGCACATGATCACATGATCATAAACCCAAGTTAACTTATTTTCTAATGAAAGGTCAAGACTTTTAAAAATATATTGGAAACACAAATGTAATAATCTGTAGACAGACAGACAGACAGATAGATAGATTTTATAAATCATGAATTATGTAAAGCCCTTGGTCCACCCATGAGAGAAACGCTGTAAGGATCACACTAGTGCTCACTCAGCCCTCAGCGCTGTATAATCACCTGCATTACTAAACACTGTAAGGTGTGTCAAACGTGCATGACCTCACGTACTCAGTGCAGACGTGGCCGACGTGACTGCTGCGTCTCTGATAGGCAGGGCTAAGGAAGTTTTTATCTTCTTAACTCTGTCTCTAGCCGTGGAATAAGACCGTAGTGTCAATGGCCGGTTAGTTTTTAAGACAGTAATCTGTTAACAGAAATGATCCAAAATAATGCTAAATTCGTTTGCAAAGTGTTAAAAGTTAATTGAACTTTGTCTTGAAAGGGCTTTACTGTTTACTAAATACTACTAAATACTTAGGCCTATGTTTAAAACCCCATTTAAAGGCTATATGAGACAATGTTAAGCGTCATAGGCCTATTAGCTTGTAAACATGTTAATTGCAAAATACTGTAGCCTAAACTGACTTTTCAATTGTCGTGGTACCAAAGCAAATTATTAAATATGATCTAATATTCATATTTACTATTAAATGTGTCTATACATGTAGCCTATAAACCTGAAGAGAAACATTTTCAATTCTAATATTGAATTTGTAATGTAAATATTGAATGTTGCGGAAATTGGAGCGCCTTCAGAGTTTAATATCTGAGAACCACTGCCTGCAGCATTCATATACGTATATGAAGCAAAACCTACATCATGAAGATTTCACATGAGATTGAGATGCTGCCGTTGTGTCCACACGCCCTCGACTGCATGCAGTGTTCACTGGTGCATTCAGTGCACACACAATAACAATTACAAAATAAATGATAAAACATAAAACCCCATCTTTCTTTTTGTCTTAACTTAACTTAATTTTATTTAGAAAAAAATGGATCTAGTGTTTTTCATAGCAGATAGTTGAGGGTGGTTTGTGGATCGAATAACAAAAAAAATTGATTTGTTATGTTA